GTTGATGGTTTGTCACTGTATGTTGATGGTTTGTCATTTTAAGCTTATAGTTTTTTTTTTAGTACATAAGCTAAAAGTTTTTCACATTATGATGACAGTTTGTTATTATCCAATAACTGTCACTGTATGCTGATGGTTTGTCACTGTATGCTGATGGTTTGTCACTGTATGCTGGTGATTTGTCAATGTATGCTGATGGTTTGTCAATGTATGCTGATGGTTTGTCATTGTATGCTGATGGTTTGTCATTGTGTATACTGATGGTTTGTCATTGTGTATGCTGATGGTTTGTAATTGTTTGCTGATGGTTTGTCATTGTATGCTGATGGTTTGTCACTGTATGCTGATGGTTTGTCATTGTATGCTGATGGTTTGTCATTTTGTGCTGATGGTTTGTCATTGTATGCTGATGGTTTGCCATTGTATACTGATGGTTTGTCACTGTATGCTGATGGCTTATCACTGTGTATGCTGATAGTTTCTCATTGTATGCTGATGGTTTGTCATTATATGCTGATGGTTTGCCATTGTATACTGATGGATTGTCACTGTATGCTGATGGTTTGTCACTGTGTATGCTGATGGTTTCTCATTGTATGCTGATGGTTTGTCATTATATGCTGATGGTTTGTCATTGTATACTGATGATATGTCATTATATGCTGATGGTTTGTCAGTGTATGCTGAAGGTTTGTCACTGTATGCTGATGGTTTGCCGTTGTATACTGATGGTTTGTCACTCTATGCTGATGGTTTGTCACTGTATGCTGATGGTTCGTCATTGTATGCTGATGGTTTGTCATTTTGTGCTGATGGTTTGTCATTGTATGCTGATGGCATATCACTGTGTATGCTGATAGTTTCTCATTGTATGCTGATGGTTTGTCATTATATGCTGATGGTTTGCCATTGTATACTGATGGATTGTCACTGTATGCTGATGGTTTGTCACTGTGTATGCTGATGGATTGTCACTGTATGCTGATGGTTTGTCACTGTGTATGCTGATGGTTTCTCATTGTATGCTGATGGTTTGTCATTGTGTATACTGATGGTTTGTCATTGTGTATGCTGATGGTTTGTAATTGTTTGCTGATGGTTTGTCATTGTATGCTGATGGTTTGTCACTGTATGCTGATGGTTTGTCATTGTATGCTGATGGTTTGTCATTTTGTGCTGATGGTTTGTCATTGTATGCTGATGGTTTGCCATTGTATACTGATGGTTTGTCACTGTATGCTGATGGCTTATCACTGTGTATGCTGATAGTTTCTCATTGTATGCTGATGGTTTGTCATTATATGCTGATGGTTTGCCATTGTATACTGATGGATTGTCACTGTATGCTGATGGTTTGTCACTGTGTATGCTGATGGTTTCTCATTGTATGCTGATGGTTTGTCATTATATGCTGATGGTTTGTCATTGTATACTGATGATATGTCATTATATGCTGATGGTTTGTCAGTGTATGCTGAAGGTTTGTCACTGTATGCTGATGGTTTGCCGTTGTATACTGATGGTTTGTCACTCTATGCTGATGGTTTGTCACTGTATGCTGATGGTTCGTCATTGTATGCTGATGGTTTGTCATTTTGTGCTGATGGTTTGTCATTGTATGCTGATGGCATATCACTGTGTATGCTGATAGTTTCTCATTGTATGCTGATGGTTTGTCATTATATGCTGATGGTTTGCCATTGTATACTGATGGATTGTCACTGTATGCTGATGGTTTGTCACTGTGTATGCTGATGGATTGTCACTGTATGCTGATGGTTTGTCACTGTGTATGCTGATGGTTTCTCATTGTATGCTGATGGTTTGTCACTGTGTATGCTGATAGTTTCTCACTGTATGCTGATTGTTTGTCATTATATGCTGATGGTTTGTCATTTTATACTGATGATATGTCATTATATGCTGATGGTTTGTCAGTGTATGCTGAAGGTTTGTCACTGTATGCTGATGGTTTGCCATTGTATACTGATGGTTTGCCACTCTATGCTGATGGTTTGTCATTGTATGCTGATGGTTTGTCATTGTATGCTGATGGTTTGTCACTGTGTATAATGATAGTTGTCACTGTGTATACTGATGGTTTGTCACTGTATGCTGATGGTTTGTCACTGTGTATACTGATGGTTTGTCATTGTATGCTGATTGTTTGTTATTGTATGCTGATGGTTTGTCACTGTATGCTGATGGTTTGTCACTGTGTATGCTGATGGCGTGTCACTGTGTATGCTGATAATTTGTTATTGTATGCTGATGGTGTGTCATTGTATGCGGATTGTGTGTCATTGTATGCTGATGGTGTGCCATTGTATGCTGATGGTTTGTCACTGTTTGCTGATGGTGTGTCATTGTATGCTGATGGTGTGTCATTGTATACTGATGGTTTGTCATTGTATGCTGATACTGATGGTTTGGCACTGTATACTAATGGTTTGTCACTGTATGCTGATGGTTTGTCATTGTATACTGATGGTTTGACACTGTATGCTGATGGTGTGTCGTTGTATGATGATGGTTTGTCATTGTATGCTGATAATGTGTTATTATATGCTGATGGTTTGTTTTTGTAAGGTAAATGACACTGTATGCTGATGGTTTGTCATTGTATGCCGATAGTTTGTTATTCTTAATGATAGTTTGTCAACTTATGCAAATAGTTTATTGTAATTTGCAAACTGTTTGTCATTTGTCTCAAAATTATTGTATGCTAATTTGTTATCATTATATGCTGATAGTTTGTTATTATTTTTCAAGAGTTTGTCATTTTATTCTGATAATTTGTCATTAAATGCTGATTAAATCTCTGTATGCTGATAATGTGTCATTGTATGCTGATAGTTTGTCATTGTATGCTGAAGTGTTGCCATAGTATGCTGATGATTTGTATATAAAATACTTTCATTTTGTCACTTTATATATGCTGATAGTTTGTAATTCTATCACGAAACTTTGTCATTGTACGTGCATGGCTATTCAATCTATGCTGACAGTTTGTCACCTTATGCTGATAATTTGCTTTTAAACCTGTAGGTTTGACATTGTTGCAAACTTTATAGCTTTCTTATAATATGCTGCAAGACATTTTGTCATTGTATGCTGAGAGTTTTTCGAAGTTTGCTGAAAGTTTGGATTGGATGCTAGTAGTTTGTGCTCGGATACTGATGGTTTGTCACTGTTTGCTGATGGTGTGTCGTTGTATGTTGATTGTGTGTCATTGTATACTCGTACTGATGGTTTGTTATTGTATACTGATAGTTTGTCACTGTATGTTAATAGTTTGTCATAGTATGCTGAAAGTTTGTCAATATATGCTGATATTTTGTTATTATATACTGATAGTTGGTCATTGTTTGTTGATAGTGTGTCATTACACATATGCTGATGGTTTGCTAGTCTTTGCTTACAGTTTATTATTGTATATGATGGTCTGTCATTCTATGCTGTTATTTTATTACTGTATGCTGATGAATTGTTATTTTAGTTAACATATTATTTTTTTTATCATATGCTGCATGAAAGTTTGTCACTGTATGCTGACATTTATTCAATGTTTTCTGAATGCTGATACTTTGCTTTTATATATGCTTATTCTTCTATTTGTCTTATATGCTATTATGCTGATTGTTTAACATTCTTTTCAGACAGTTTGTCATTGCATATTCTGTTAGGGGTTTTTTTTGTTTGTTTGTTTTTTTTGTGTTGTCATTTCGCTGTATATGCAGATAATTTGTAATATATGCTGATACTTTGTTTTGTATGCTGATAATGTGTCGCCAGCTGATATATAGTTTTTTTATTGAATAATGATAGCTAATCGTTAGGTAATAGTGATGATAGTCTTTCAATTTGACTTTTTTTTCATGATTATGATGAAATTTTAAGGGTTAGACATTTCCAAAAGACATCGCTGCTATTCTACTCAGATTATACAATTATCGATTCCTGATTATATTATTTAATGTTTTATCATCTCAATTTCCTTCACCGAATTGTCTCATTCCGTACTTTAAGTCTATCCTTTTGAATTGACAGAAATTGCCCCATATAATTTAACTTCTATTCTCTGTAGATCTTGCACGAACTCATTATAGTATAAGCATCGTCATAATACTATGTTGATCAAGAGAACGTTGGGGTTTTCCATAAACACTTTACATGAGTTCAACATTTGCTCGGGTTAATATAGGAGTGTGGGATTTATCTGTGCTGGTGTAAATATAACTAACGTATGATGTGATATTAAATACCTGACCCTAAAATACAGCAATGAACAAGATAAATATGACACTTGCCTTACTTATCTGATATAGGTAAAAGCCCTGTAAATAATTTTAACATTTGTACTACAATAATTTTGTCTATATCCTCTAATTATTATAACCCATGTAACAGAATAAATTTTATTATGAACAAATCATATATTATGGTACATAATCGAAAACAAATTTTAGAAAAAATGACCTTGTCGTGTTTTTGATGATGAAAAATTGTAGGAAATATAAGACATCACCCCGGTAAGTCCTTTTACAGTTTTTATTTTAGGGCACAATTCCTACTACATGTATACCTGAACTTGTCAGCGACAACCTCACATGGCTCTCCATAAGACTTTTCATTTTTTCCCACCTCAAATCTGGTTCTTGTGAACATAGGCGATGTTACGAATTTTACAGAATATCGCTGTTGGTCCAGGATGTGAATTTTGATCAAACTGATTTATAAATTCAAGAAATAGACTTGGACGCTTTCAACAAGAAAAAACAGAATTTTACACTTTTTATGGAATGTGTGACATACTTATTTTTATCTGATGACCTGGAGATTGTAAACCTATTTTACATCTTTAAGTAACATTACCTCATGTTTACATCGCTTAGTTTAAATCACGGATCCCATTTTCACAACTGAGTACTTACGCTGACATTGTTTGCATTGTCGCTTTAATTTTCAAAAAATTGCAAAACTTCGGAAAGCGTGTAATGTTTGCTCATGTAGATCCACCCGTAGCTGGGGTTTCAGGATGTGTGTATGTTAATTGTTCACTTAAATCCGGCGAGTCCAATGATCCATTGGTGTGATTTTATACTGACTTCAATACAAGATGTTCATAATTCATACTCAATCGAATCTTCACCGGGAAACCGTGCAAAGCAGTTAAAATACGCTTAAAGTGCAAACAAGGGCAACAAATAAATCACGTGTATTTTGCCGATATTTATTATCTGCGTTCTAATAAGTATGGGGGACTTCAGCAAGTGTAGTTCGATGGGAGTGATTATTTGTGTATTGATTCTCGTTGTCTCTGCATCGGTCACACAGAGAGTGCTGAACGTTCCCCTGTACGAGACCGGAAGACTGTGGATGTCTCATTGGAACTCTCCTGTGTGGAACCTTCTGACGGATTTCTCCACAATTTACACCTACGTAGCATATGCAGTCATTGTTTTTGTACTGTACAAACTGCATGGTATTCTGTTTGTACCTGTCAACAGAATTCGTTACCTTGGGGACCTAGGTTATATTTCAGATGGGGATTTAAAGGAGACGGTCAATAGAGTAAGAAAACAGAGAAATGTGGGGGACATTCCCCCTGTTTATCCCAATGGATGGTTTGCACTTCTGGAGGGATTCAAGTTACAACCCGGAAATGTACAAAACCTTTCAGTCTTAGGTAAGATGTATTTTACGTAGCTGCATGTTCACATACATTGTATCACTCCAACAACCTGTTCTCTTTTAAACATACACGTAGGTCATGCTTATTACAATAACTTTCTAACTTATATTTGACAGTTGACTTATTTCAAACGCTTTAATTTCCAGCGACCCATAATCTGTGTAACATTAAGCATTGAATTCGATATTGTTTACAACTGAAGACAGCAAATATCTTCTTCTCACGACAAAATAAATACTTTTTATCAAGAGTAGATTTTGAAATATACTGATAATTAGACATTCAAGGACCCAGTCAATTGACAATCAACAATATCATTTGTCTGTGCTTTTTAAAATTTCTTTGTCTTTACGAAGGACTTGAATTTTAAATTTATTCGTAATAACCTTGAATTGTTTGTTTCCGACCATGCGATCCTCTGGAACAGGATTTTGATTATTTTTAAGATAATTTCACTTTAAATTTTAACACTGATGCTTAAATGAATATGTAGATTAACTTTTTAACAAATCTCTAGAGTTAAACATTTATTTCCTTCTTCCTTATGAGTCGAAAAACTTGGGTTAAGCAATTTAAATTGTTCCTGTACAATAGAACCGATCGTTTTTAGGGAAAAACTCGAGTTTTACGAGTCAATTTGTGCGTGGTGCATTTTGCGTCGTAATTATTATAGATTCAATGCATTTTGAAGGTAATCGGGAAAAGGATGTCTATCAGGTTTTTTTTAAAGTGTCGTGTCGCTTTAGATAAATCTTTAGTATCATGCACATTAGAATATATTGCACTGTTAGTTAATGCCTCTAATTATTATTTTTACCTTGTAAAGGTAAAAAAAGAACCATAAGGGAAATATACCAACACAATACTGATATTTCAAATAATTGTTATGTAGAAAGGTAAACAAACGCCCAGCAAATAATAGAACTTTAATACTTAATGATTTTCATTTATACGATTATCGCATTCCTGTTAGAATTGTATTCAGATTTTTTTTTCTAAGCAGAATTAGAAACCAGAGGTGAATCAAGCTGTAGGAAGCTATAGGAAATCGACAACAAAAAAAATGCTCATATTGCAAAAGTGAAATATGCATGTACAAAACAGCTTTTTGTTCTGTCAAGTTTGACGTAGGTTCAAAAACTGGTGTATATAGACTAAAACTTATCTCTTTACAATCTCTTTAAAACAATTTATGGTTCTCCAGATATTCTGCAAATAGCTTTTGTCAGGTAAAAGATACGTTCTAAAAAAGCAATTTTTTTAATCTAGTTCCATATGTTGTCATCAAATTGTAGTTGGCATTTAAATTCCACGTGTATTGTGACTTTAGCACATGCATAATTAAGGACAATATGTGGTCTAAAATATTACCCCTCTCCCTACATTGAAATCTTTTTAGCCCATTACACTTAAAAAAGAAACATTAAGGGTCATTTTACATTAGGCTGTGCAACATACTACGCTAGAATTTTCCTTTACATGTAATTCGAGCACAGGTTTTATTTCACTGATATCTAACAGAAACTTGAATTTCAAAAAAAAAAAAAATGAATTGCTAGCATCAAGATCGATTGATATTTGTTTCCGGAATACCTGAACGTATTGCCCCAGTTCAGTGATATCGCTAGCTACCAATGCTTCCATAAAACCTGACATGGATTAATTATTCATAATCTGTTACCTTTGAAGCCTGTTCATGGCCATCAAAACAAAGTTTTTATTTTATCGTTAAGTTCATTCACAGAAAGCAAAGTATCATTTGGGGTTTGTCAATGTTAGGGGTTTTTTTTTTGGATGTCTATTCCTTGATATTCATTATATGCAATGAAAAAGGGTAAAGATAACGAACAGTGATCGATCTCATAGAAACTTAAAACAATACAAATATGTGAACAGGGCATAAACACGGACCCCTGGAAATTCCAGAGGTGGGATCAGGTGCCTAGGAGGAGTAAGCATCCTCTGTTGACCGGTCGCACCTGCGCGAGCCCTATGTATTGATCAAGTAGACGGAACATTCCGTAGTCAAAGTTAGTACAAAAACAAAAGCCTAATGATTGGTATGAAAACAAGTCAGCCAAAATATGACCCAATGATAGGATATATTTGCTAACAAGGTCATTTTAAATACCATAGAATTTACGGAAAGCTGACTTTAAACGAGGTTGTTGAAATCCCTGCAACATCAACTTATGTGTGAGTAGCCTGCCTTGGTTTAAAAATTGATCGTACTCAGAGCATGCTCTTGAGTATTGAATATGTTGGGAGACATAAAAACCGTATGCAGGTGATAGCGGACTATAGGAAGTTTGGGGTGGGCGCATAGAATGTAGAACTTGATGACATGATTGTAGAATGGATGACTGTTTTTAAAATAAACAATAAGTTAAGTTTAATGTCCCTAATCAAGGGGTTTTCTTTCATTTTTCCGATATAATCCATTCGATCTATCATTTATTAGATAGGTGTCGATGAGAAGCTATTGTTTATTCTAAAGGTCGCCAAACTTATGAGTGCTTCTTTGTACCTTTGTGGTCCTCGTATAATTTATAATCTCTTTTTTCCAAGTCTCTAGTCCAGAACATACGAACAACAGTGTATCCATGAACTTCAGATTATATGAATACAAAGGGCTCAAAGTATATCTTAGTGGTAAACAGTTTGAGTCCAGAGTGTCATGAAACTACTGCAGTATATACCATAATACTACAAAAGCATCGATCCAAATGGTTTCAAAAACAGTATTTCCCTGTTCTAGATTACACAGATTACACAGATTATGACAGATTACACAGATTACACAGATACAGATTGTTTCAAAAGCATCTATTTCGTCCTTGTGTAAATTTTAGAAAAAAAAAACTCAAACTAATTAAACAATACGTTGTGTGATTTTGCTATTCACCCGGACTGCCTCATTTCTTTACCACTTTTTTTTGTTAATAATTACTTTTTAAACTCTTGCCTATTTATCAGTGATCCGTGTACACAAAATTTGGGCATGATATTTCGTCAATTGCAATGAAGTAAATGTCAATATTTGGATTGGTCACACTCTTGTTGTACAATATAACAGCAGTCATTTTAAAAAGAATACTGTTAGTACACATTAAAATTTTACGTAAAAATACCACATTATTTGGAATCACAAAATGCCAGTATACTATTTATTATGAATACCCTTCCATTATAAACACTCCGGTGGGATATAGGCGGATTGTTGCCTATTATTTCACTGTATTAATGATAAATCCGATGATAAATTCGATTAAAATGTTGCCACAAGCTAATGTTTTGGCATTTTGTATAAACTCTATTGTTGAGTACCCACAATATATACACATATAGTAAAAATATTTACAAGAGCTTACATGGCTCTGTGTATAGTGTGTATTATCCCTTTGTTTGTCTTAGTTCTTTTAATCATTGACCATCATCAATTATTCATCTTTTCTGGCCCTAATTCTATACATGGAAGACAGAAATCCTTGATGTAGAATAAATAATGATGTAAGTCACTGTTTACTTGGTTACAGTAACCATTCATATGTTTTCCCTGGTCACAAATGGCTTTCTTTTTACTTTCAATGAATCTAATATTTAAAAGGCGTGATTCCGTGTATTGAAAGACGGCAAGCATGTGTGATTTACTAAGCTTTAGTAAACAGCGTTCCATTGACAATCCAATGGCTTTTTATCCATGTACAATATAAAAGAAGTTGAAGAACTTTCCTTAATATCTCAAAAGCGCATAATTATAAATCGACACCACAGTTACTTCAAAACGCAGTATATATACAGATAACCCCAGACTACAAATATCAAGATTTCAGTCATGTTTCCAGTGAAAGTCAATAGTTACCATTGTGACAAAAATATTTTTGAACAGCCTATCAGCTAAATGCTACATTTAACGTCTTTGATGTATAGTTTGCATTGTTTTTACTTTGTTAAGGTATAACATTACCATTTCTGTTAATAATAATGCATGTGTTTGTAAATTTAGCTTAACAAATCGAGCATTCATAACGTGACACAAGCTTCGTTTCAATCAAAATATTTTTAATGTTACCCTGGGTGACAACTCGATGACTTGACCAAATGTTCAAATGCGCAATATTAGCTGGCGTATAAAAATATTGATCTTGGACTGTTTTTTCCCTCTTTCTTCATGGTTGAGCAAATATAGATCAAAATAATTTGAAACGCAGTCATTGTACCTTACCTTTATCATATATCTCGTTAAAGACCACACAGCTGGTCAAGGTCTTGATCATCAGATCTGATTTAATAAAGATACATGAACTAACGACACCTTCTATAACAAAGCCTGTTGAAAGACCGTATATTATCCATGAGTTATGTATTTTAATATATAGAGAAAAAATCTAGAAATCAATTCTGCGAAGCAGGGGGCATTGGTAATCAAAGACGCCAAGTGTATTTGCAAAAGCTCTCAAATGCGTTCATTTTACTGTTGGTGTATTTTGTCAGTCAAGTGTAAGAAAAACTCTTAATAACATCATCGAAACTTGGTTGAAAAGGTGATCGATATAGAGTTTGATTTATTGCCAATTCTATGTGAAAAAGATCGTTAATTAGTTGACGTTTTGTAGGTGGAATTGACAAATATTTACAAATGTTTCAAAAGGGCGACAGAGTGTGGAAACGGAGTGCGACCTATGACACCTTTCAATTATAGTTCATATATACATAAAGAATATAAAATGTACTCTGAAAATGAGGCAAGTCCTGTTTAATATGGTTGGTAGGTAGAGAAAAAAAATATTAATGAGCCGCGACTTGCAGAAGTTTTTTTTTTTTTTTTGTTATTGCTTTTAAAAGAATGTGATGAATTTTTTAACACTTGTTTTCAGATGAAAACTTTGCACTTTCAATACAACGAAGTGTAAGACATGTTGAAGAGTTAGTTAGTCGAACTATATAATGTAAAATAGTTTTGAATAATGAATCGCAGGTTTGACTTAGATAAATAAATACTAGGATTCAATTTCATGCACAGAGTAATTAAAGCTTTAATACATGTACTTATATATTGTAACACTTGCACATTTCATTACCGGTATAAGATGAAGTCTTGAACTTGTTATTCGACCAAGCTGTTTAAGATAATTTATAAGACGAGAATTTGTCTTATCTTCCCTGTTAATGGATTTTCAATGAGTGTTTGTTCCCTTGTTTCTTTGGACAGGATTAAACTTGGCTGTTTTTCGTGGAGAGGATGGCGTTGCCCATGTAGTTGATGCCTATTGCCCACATATGGGCGCTAATCTTGCTGTGGGTGGGAAAGTTGTTGGAGACTGTATCCAATGCCCATTCCACGGCTGGCAGTTCAGAGGAAGCGATGGAAAATGTACCAAAATTCCTTATTCCGAGAAAGGTTGAAAAACATTTTAATTCATTGATACTCACTAAGGTTGCTTTTCACTTATTTCCTACAACATTGTGAATAATGTATATTTAATTTATATGTTGATTATAACTGCTGTTTTCATGGCTAACTTCATTAGTTGCATATTGATATGTTGGTCTTAGTCATTAATGAGAGAAACCCAGTCGGTGTTAACTACTTTGCTTACAATATCTTTATCATGACAGTGCCTGATATCGCTAAAGTCAAATCGTATACCTCCACTGAAGTCAACGGATGGATCTATCTATGGTACCACGCGGAGGGATCCGAACCAACATGGAGCATTCCGACAATTCCCGAGATAACCCGAAAGGAGTGGGTGTACAAAGGTCGTACAGAACACTATATCAACTGTCATATAGAGGTAACAAAATAATAATGTCTTCATGCCTTCTGTACATAGAACAGGGTATAGTGTGGACTAAATGTAGCCTGTTTTTGACGTTAAATACTAAACAATAAAAATGCATGCGAATTAGCGAAAGTGCGAAGAGCATAGACAAATTCGAAATAGCGGTCGAAGGAGCGATATCTATATCGCACCTACGCCTTTGCATCTAAATTTGCGGTTTCGCTCCTGCATCTTAGTAATTTTACTACAATAACTTTGTTTGTGCGGCTTCTTACTCTCGCTTTCGTCCTATAGGCGAAAGTGCAAAGCGTTTTCAGAAGTAAAATGTTCCTTAAAGTTCATGAATAATCAGTAAATTGTGTTGCGGATAAACTTTTTTTTATTTGAGATATCTTTAAGCCTGCTGGTAGTTATTGCAAAATTGATACATGTACATGTATGTATTCAAAACTGTCATTATACATGAATATAATGCGTCCATTCGTGTCCATACAGGAAGTGCCTGAAAATGGAGCCGACGTGCAGCATTTGCAGTGCGTGCACACTCCGCTGATGACATCAGGTATTGATCTACGTCATATGTGGAACAAGTTGTGGTCATTTGGCTCTCATTCGTGGTTGGCTAGTTGGGAGGCTCATCCTCCTCCGGAAGAACATATAGGGACCATGACATTGAAACACAGCCTTAATCTGTTTGGGAAGCAGCTCAGTGGGTTAGACATGGATGTCAAGGCCAGACAGGTGACATATTTATCCATCCATACAATTTCAGTCACACTAAAAGACACATTTCAAAACGCTCAGAAACATTTCAAAACGCTCAGAAACAGACTCGTGTTCAAAATGTGAAAGGTAGCTGTCATGTTCTAAATTTTGAATTTACCTAAGAACATGACATAGCTTTCAATAATAAATGTTTATTCCAACAATATTTTTTGTAAGATATTTTACTTTAATTTAACACAGTTCTTAGTACGCAATTTAAAATCAATTTGTTTCATGGCGCCAATTCATAGCAACGAATATTAAACTTTTTTAGATTAAGTGACAACTGGACTATCATAATTGTCAACCAGATCTGTAATTTTTAGGAAAATTAAGTACGTACTAAGTCTTGATCTTTGGCCCAGAAAGTTAAACGAACACGCACTGACGATTTAAAATGAAAGAAGTAAATACATGTACCCGTTAACTATGGGCCTGCTTGATTTCATCTTGTTTTATAACGTGAAATTCTATCGCCATTTTCATTTACATGACAAATACATGAATTAGTCGATAAATTTCACTGTTGACTGCCATGTATCTTGTCCGACATGATAAAATTAATAACATGCAGTTATACATGCATAGATTGAACTTGCAATCCATCGCAAATTTGAAAGACAAGGCTTTCAAAATTATATTTCGAGATCTGAGATCTGTGAAAGTTTTTCTTGTTTTTAAAGTTGAAGGTTATTTCGAATAGGTTTGTTTACCATGTCCTCCCGTAAATCCACTTGTTCAAGTGAGATAACGTGTCCCGTGTAAACTTTTTAATCGACTTCAAGTTTACCATTGACATTTTTTCAAATAACCTTAACATTTTATTGTACCGGTAAATTATTCCAGCTTCGTTAGTGATTATAGAATTTATCGATAAAAAAATATTACCATTATTTATTTTCAACCAACACTAAATTCCTTTACTTTTCAATTCTACTAAAATACCAACCAAAGAAATTTACAGGACGAATACTTTGTAGGGAAAAGCTGGCACTGTCTGTTTCATATTATGATTTGTCTGCGTCCCTGTAAATGCAAAAATGCAAACACTAACAGAAATAGTTATTTATGCTTACAGGTCAATTCAAACTAAACGTCTGGGCTTATGGCTCTCTATAATCGAATTAATTTTATTTAAGGAATTGCAGATAATTTTTGCAAATCGTAAATTCGAATGAAATTGATTAAAAGAAGATGGGCGAACAAGCCGATAAAAAATGTCTTAGTATGGTTCGACAAATAAATTGAAAAATTAAATCTCAATTATAACACAATTTTCTTTGGTATTTCAGTGAACATTGAAGTATACTTTGTGTAAAATCTCCAAAATTTGCCACAATCTCACAAATTTAAAGTTACTGGTTTATGAAATGACATGCACACACCAAAGAGCGCAAAAATGATCAATTCTTCAACTGTTACACAATATTTCTGTATAAGTGGGTCTCCCCTCCTCTTTTTTTTCTTTTTTTTTAAGTATATCTTCAAACATCGTCTCGAGCCACGGTTCGGAGTCCGCATATAGCACTCTCCAACGGGAGAGGATCGTACATTTTGGTCGTGGTTTGCGACGATGGTCTTCAAAAAGTATGTTTACATTTTTTGCTAACAAAAACATGGATCATAGACCCTCTCTACCATAAAATATCTTTTTAAGGTACAAATTTCGTATCATTCCGAGAAGTATTCAAGTCCAGTTACTTAAGGTATGTCACTCGTCAGCTTTTAAGAAAATTTCAGTCAGAACCTCTAACTTCAAAACTAATTATTATAACTCAATTTTTATAACATATTTGAATTTTAACCCCACATTCTTTTACTCAGAGAATCTTTTCCGTTATTATAGACTAGAAATATTAAGTATATAGGTTTCAGTTTATATTTTTAGAACAAATTTTACACATTCACTCAACAGACTTTGCCAAGAAGTGAAGATACATTAAAGAAGTCAAGATAAAACTGACACTGATTTTTGCCTGAAGATCGCATATTTTGACCAAAATTTCAAAATTTACATCACTGAACTCAACTCTTTCTTTCATTATTTTAAACTACACGATACCCCCAACCAATCAGCACTAAAGTCATAAAAAGTTTGATACAAGAAAATATTTTATTGCCTATTTAGATTTCTTATACCCCAAATATGATACTTTTTAAGTGCAAAAAGGTTACACAATAGTTTATGCGCATTAATTTGGATGATTTGTTCAATGATAAATATTATTCAAACTATTTTACGTAAAATAAGATTATATTTATTGCCATGATTACATCTGATAAAATATGATGAAGATTAAAGTGATTGACCTAAGAGTTACAATTTAAGTGCAAAAAGGTCAAGTTAATTGTACCGTTGCTCAGTAAGATGCACACTGACCCCCAATTTTCTTTGCGATTTTGAGTCATACTATATGAGTACTTATCTAAATTATACTTCTCAAAAAATCCTTGATATAACTAATTTCACGAGTGACATACCTTAAGGGTCATATGACTCATATCACAAACAAGATTTATATGCCATTACCCGTAATGAGATGTGTGGTGTAGTGGTTGGCGTGTCAGTATCTAAGAATGAAAACGATACTCTGGATTTTTTATCGCTTGGGTTCAAATTTGCAAAAAATCTTTATGATTTTTTTTTACCATAGAATAATATTTGCCGAGAGAATTTTTCCACAAAAGATTTTTCTTTGTCATAATTTCTTACCTTTCAATGATAAGAACTTTGCTTAATAATTGAATTTGATTTTTGAAATTTGAAGCTAAAGGCATTTTGCAGGCCGTGTTCGCCCATTTTCTTTTGAATAAATGTAAGATTCGGAGATATATACATTTAAAAAAAAAAATGCACTTCCTTGCAAATTTCATATTTTAAAATTTGGAGGTTAAGAATTCTACCATAGATATATGTGCAGATATTTGAGTTTAAATATTGCAAGGTATCCGATTTTACTCAAACATATCTTTATTAATATTTTTTCACTCAGATTGGTCCAGGAATTGTGTATCTAACCTTCGAGTCACCAGTAGGAAATGGAGCCTATATCCACCACATTACACCCGTAGAACCTATGTTACAAAAGCTTGTACATAATATTTATGTTCAAAGATATATGCCAACAATTGTAGCCACATTCTTCATGATAGCGGAAGCCATTCAGGTATATTACATGTCATAAATATTAATAATTAACCATGATCATAATTTTTTGTTAAATACGCAAAATTTATTTTCAAGAGCTATCTGCTAAAATTCATGAGAATATAGATTTTATTTCGTTATTACTATCATTTAATACATTCTTCTTGATCAATTTCAAAAATATAATCATTAGAAAAAATACTGAACAACAATAACATCCCTTTGTTCACTATATCATGTTTTAGGTGGAAAGAGACATAATGATTTGGAACAACAAACGATATGAAAGGAAACCGATGTTTGTGAAATCGAAAGAGGACTCTATGGTGGCTAAACATAGAAGATGGTATTCTCAGTTCTACTCCGAAAATAGTCCCAGATTAAAGTTCCAGAAAGAGTCATTAGACTGGTGAAATGACGTCACAATAGGACTCTTATAAGTGTAATAGAGTAAGCTTGATACTCCCAACAGGCAACCTTTGAAAATCACCTAAAAAGTACTAAAATAATAAAAATGATGGGATCTTTATACGTAACTTTCTTTCTCTTAAAAGGAAGAAGCATTAAAGTGAACATTGTTTGTGATGGGGGTGTCCGTCCGTCTGTTATGCTTTGGGGTACCCATTTCTTATCCGCAACTCCTCCTTATACCACTGAATAAAATTTAATGAGACTTTCATGGAATTTTTTTCCTCTGTGAAATACTCTTTTCAGAAGTGGCTATCGATAATATATCAAAGGATCTAATTTAATTTTGGTGGGACTGATTCAGTGGTTAGGGGTAGTCCTAGGGTTAGGGGTAGTCCTAGGGTTAGGGCTAAGGAATGCTGATTAGACTTTGATCATATTTTTTGCACAATTATATCTTTTATTCATATATGTTGGGGGGTATCCTCTCAATTTACGAATTACTCTCTCCATGATGTTTTCCCCCCCCCAAAAATAGAAATAATGTACACAAAATTGTGTCTTAGAAATTCTGATGCATAAACATGAGTTATCCCCCTTATAAAGAGGAGAATTTCTTTAGTATCTCTGAATACTCTGTGAATGACATTTATATGGCATTATCTTATCTGTACAATATGTACTGCCAGAATACTTGCTCACTAACTGTTGAGGCATAAATTTATTTTTAGCTTTAAAAATACATAATAGAATACACAAAGAAATATGTAGCATAACAGTATATAGTTTGTTTTTCAAATAGATTCTGTTTAGATTGCGATACAGTTAGTATTATTATTCAGATGAGTGTTCATGGCCTGCGAAGGAAACATGATACAGCTGAAAGTCAAACAAATGAGAACAAATGAATACAGAATTTTGAAAATTAAATTTTCATCGAGTCTTTGTGTCTTAAGATTAAACATGTACATACTTTCAACTTTTTAAACATGTTTGTAAAAATCAAGATATTGGAAATCTGAATTCCTGAGGATTTTTGTCAAAACTTCAAGAAAATGCAACTTCCTGTTTGATTCAAACAGACGATTGTAAGTACTTTGACTGGTGTGTTTTGCACTTTAAACATATCTGATTGGTTGCTGAATGTTTAATTTATTAATGTAAGAACGTTAATGATTTTTTTCTGTCGTTATTTTTGTGAAAGACGCAAAAACGTGGGAAAAGAGTATAACTTGTATTTAAACCTTACAAATGTCAACTTTGAAAGTATTCTTGTTTGAACTGTTCAAGGTGTGAAAGTTGGAAAATGTAAATATTGGTGACTTGTTTTTTTTCTCTTTGTTTGTTTGTTTTTTTTTTTTTTTTTTTTTTTTGTTTTTTTTTTTTTGTTTTGTTTTTTTTTTTTTTTGAATGATTATGATTTGATCCAATCATTGGTTGGAGGAATGTAAAATGATTTTGAAACTATGAATATGAATTGTATGTTACGATTTTAAAATTAAATAGAAATATATTGTCTTGTGATATTAATATCAAATGCAAATGTGTTGAAACCATTCAACAACTTGCTTTAACAAGAGGTCCAAGGGCCTCGATATATCTAAAAAAATACGTGTCATTTTACACGAAAAGTACACATATATGATGAATACAACCCTTAAAGGCTGTACATTGCTACTTTATCACTAATTAGTTACTAAAACAATGGACAAAAACGTTTCAAAATACAGCAAATAAAATATCCTATTTTCTATTACAGTAAATGCTAATTTTAAGAGTGATAATTACTTGCAGATGGTTGTGCGTCGTATATACGTCATATATACGTCATATATATAGAGAGAGAGAGTATTTTTTTTAAAAATGGATAATAGCCAAGGGGTCTATAACGAGAGGACGGTGTTGTCCTATATACAGTGTATTTTCAGAAAACTTGATGTCTTTCCAGGAAAAATAAAAATAAAATAAGATGCACAAAATTGTGTCATGGTAACATTGAAGCATAAAATGAGTTTTATTAAAAGGATAGATATTCCAGATAACGAGTTGAGTTAATCTCAGAATACTGTATGAATGACATACATGTGACATTAAGTTAAGGACGTATGGTAGTGACGATTTTGAATCCACCGCGCAACTCCGAATGACGTAAATGAATCGTATGTCGTTCATCTCTTTAGTAGAGTTGGAAATAAAATTTACAATGCTACTTAGTTTAAAGATATACTTGATATAAAATCATATAAAATGTGACTAAAATTTCATTGGATTCAAACTAACAACAAGTCGAGGTAATTTTACGACTTATCTTACTTTTCGGTAATGTAAACAAAGCGGATGTTTCGAAAAGAATGAAATGCGGAGAAAACGAGGATTTTCGTCAACCAAATCTATTCAGCGGCACAGCAAGGCTTCGTTGACTCAAGAAAGGCGATGGTGAGCTGCGTCTGACTGAAAATTACTGTGCAAAGATTAAACCCATCATTCGAATCACAAACGCATGACAACTCTAGCCTAGCAAAAACGATCTGCCCAGGTTTGTCTCTAGTATTTGACACCATTTAACTAACATTACCTCAGAAATTCAGTAAAAGTGATTGTGGCTCAGCAAAATACCGGTATTAGATAAGATAGATATATATGTATATATATATATATGAGTGAACTGGGTACTTTTTTCTGAATTGGGGGCATGAGTGAACTCACAACATTATACACTGCATGATAGATCATTTTTAGCAAAAATTAGGTTAAGTGCACATAATTTAGAAATTGAAAAAGGTAGATATGTTGAAATTAATAAAAATGATAGGTTGTGTAAAGTTTGTCAAAACCTTGATATTGAGGATGAAAAACATTTCATTTTGCTCTGTCTGAAATATGAAGCACAGAGAAAAATATTCAAAACAAAATTATCTACTTTCCCTAATTTCAACCAAACAATCCATAATAATGACAATTTGTTAAAATCATTGATGAAAACCAGGTGTAAAAGGGTTCTTAAAATATTATCTTCATTTTTATGTCAAATATCTGATATTAGAAAAAATGTTCTAGCTATAAATGAGTAACTACATTGTTATGAATCACCTAGTATCTGATGAGTACACTACATTATTTGCTACACCAATTGTTTGTATTCTAGTTGTGTTCTACTGTATTATTATACTTATTAATGTGTTCTGTATGGGCCTTTACCAATTACTGTAATTGTGTTTGTGCCAATAAAATATTTGTATTTGTATTTATAAATTAGTGACGATTCATGTTAAAGTTTTTTTTAAAAAAAAGCAGAGATTTTGTGATTAAAAATTGTTATATTCTTCCTTAGTTGTTGTTTACAATATAGATTCAAAAAAGTGATAAAGAGCACTACACTATATTATAATAAAAACAATACCACTGGTTACCAGTGCACACATGAGGGGGTAATTTACATGATTTATACACAATTCTGTTTTGCAATTTATTTTTATATTGTGTGACATGATTGCATTCCGGAATGTTGGTGAATCAATAAAAATTCAAAAATTTATAGATGTTATTCAGGTGCGCTTGATTTTGGAAAAACGTTTCGAGTTTCATGTACTCTATCATGTCTACATGTATGTATTGATGCTTTTAAATTTAGCAAACATAGAAAATATATTAAAAGAAACAATAATTTATTATAAATGTTAAGTCATATGAGACACAGTTATAACTCAATGAAATTTGAAGGTAACCAGATGCAAGGTGTTGGACACTGTCTAGACAATTTTCTTCCAAAACATACTAGATAAAAAATTCACTACACTACAACACAAATAATACTTACCACTAAATTCTTTGGCCTAAAACAGGACTTTTCTTTTTATTAAGATTATTTCTTTCCTTATTAATTTCCAAGTTATGTTGATGGTAGAGTGTATGAATTGCAATTTTGACTATAATCATTTTTTTTAATTGAATTTTCTTCTGAGTTCATGAAAGCTAAAAGCATCAATACATATTATAGAGTATGTGAAACTCAATCATAATCATGTAGACCACACAATATGAAAATAAAATAAAACACTCGTTTTGTTTATACTGCATCTACATTTACATATATGCAGTGATAGGGAAGAAATCTCAGCTATATAGATTTAGTAGTACATGTATATTATTTGAATAGGTATCCCTAATATTGTGGACATTGAACATGAAGTTGAGATGGAACAGGATCTGGAACCCTTAATATCTGCTATCTGGAAACTTGGAAGGAGGGTTATGGAACTGGGGGTGATATGACAGATGCTCAAAATGTCCATGCCATTTCAGCAGCTCTTTCATGCTGTGGATATCCTAACTTATGGATCATCAGCTACCATTAAGGTACATTTACATTTGTCAAAATGTTAGGCTGTGGTGTTGTTAGGCAAAATTGTTTCCACTTTCACAACCCAGTGAACCCACCCTATTTTGCAGCTGACCCCAATTTTTTTTAAAATGCTTTTTCAAGAAAAATATGAATATTCATTTTAAATTCCCCAATAATAGCATGTATAAAAAAATTTCCACCATAAATAAAACACTATTTCTTTGACTTCCAGTCTATGCAAAAGACATCGGACCGTCAGACCTGACCGATGTGTAGTGCCTCTGGTCCGATGCGTCATTTTTTACACCGGACCAGAATGTCCGATGTGTCTATGTCCAGTTTTGAGCATTATTATTTTGATGGGGAGTCATGTATATGTTCGTTATAAGTAAAAAATTTCTCAAAAATCCAAATACGTAAATGAAGGTGATTAAAACCGTATGGACCATCTACAGTACTATGCGGGAGCAATCCCTTGTAAAAGAAAAGGTGTTAGGCTTACTACTCTGCATTTTCATGTTTTTCACTTTTTTACATTAGGTTTTTTGGTCCAACAAAAATTGATTCGGTCCTGTGTGTTCATTGATTACACAGGACCCAATGTCCTGTGTGGTCCAAAAAACTTTCGCATAGACTGGACATCAGTGTTACTTGGTTGTTTTATTTAAAAAAGTCCACGCAAAAAAAAAGAATTAAAAATATGCCTACCAGTACCTACCGGAACTCTAAATTTTTCAAGCATGAACATGATAAAAGTGGAAACAAAGCAGGTTTAACCAATCATTTTCCTTGGCTTTACTTACTAGATTATTTTCTTTGATAATTGGCTAGATTTCACAATTAGTAAGCAAGTAAATTGTATTTTATACATGTAGTGATATATTACAGTATGAAGAAAAACATAAAAATACATGTAATCAGTCAATCAGACCTATGTGTCACTTTTAGACAAATACATGTATATCATAGTTGATACCCATGACAAGTTTTAGATAAAGTTGAAAGTACCATATGTAGTGATGTAAAGATTAATCGATTAAATCAATTATCTAATTGAAATGGTCCCCGATTATAGATAATCGATTACTCAAAATATTAGTTAAATGCAAATTATTCCTTTAATTTTTGATTCATTCTTCTTTGAATTTAACTAAATCCTAAATAATAATCTAATAAATGAATCAAATGATACAAATTATTTCAAAAATGTATTTTGGAAATCACTCCAGAATTTCTAAACAATTTATTCTACATTTGAAATTGAAGAAATATAATATTTGAAATTAATCAATTTTTTTTTCGATTATAGTGCATCCCATTATTCCAATAATCAATTATGAAAAAAATCCCAATTTCCCATCACTAACCATATGCAAGAATTGTAACTGTTTGATGAATACTAACTGGTATATTAGGTTTGACATTAAATATTATGAATTATACATAAATACAAACATACTTAATTATTGTTTATTTATAGTATCATAGGGACATACAACTTGTATGTTTCATAGTTATTAACTTATTAAACATTTCATGTTTGAAATAAAGCCAACAGGTTTAGGTATGTGAAATCACTAACTGCCCATATACATGTAACAAGTTTATTGATGCAGACCTCTAGTAAAAAAAAAAAGGGGGGTGCAACTGACATCTTAATGAAAATTTACTCTATAGCCAAATACTATTCTCAGAAAAAAGTTAGGAGGACAGACCCCCACCCCCCCCCCAACACACACAACCATTCTGTAGGCCTGTATTGACTAGATCAGGTGGACAAGATCATTTGATTGTTATTAAAATGAAAATTATTTTATCACCTGCACTAATAACTAAAACAAGATTATTGTTTCTTACAGAGAGCGGGAACATCATGATCATATAAGCAATGAGACGAGAAAAGTTTTCAACTTTTTCCACAAAGAACAATCAATAAACAGGCAGACAAAATTCCAGGTCTAAAAATAAATGGAAT